GGGTTGGGTGCCCAGATGGGGGTCTCCCATGGGTGGGGGTGCCTGGCAGGACCCTGGGCTCTGGGGAAGGGCACGAGGGGGCCCTGGGGAGGGCTCCGGGGAAAGGCGGGGGGGGCATGGGGAGGGGTCCCCTGCCCCAGGCTCTGGGGAAGGGCAGGAGGGGGCTCCAGCTGGAGCGCTGGGGAGGGGTCCCGGCTGGGGGACGTGGGCCGGCCAGGGGGATGGACACAGGGACTCACGGCACGGAAAGCAGCCAGGTTGTTCTCCGCCTCCTCCTTCAGCTGGATCTCCTCCTGCAGCCTGCGAGAGGGCAGGGGTCAGCGGGACCCCCGGGGCAGGTGTGGGGTGGGCAGGGCACAGGGCCCGGCAGGGGGGCCTGGCTCTGCAGTGGGGGGACTGGCGGGGGGCCAGGGGCTCTTCCTCCCTTCCCAAGTATAGGCACAGGCAGCGCAGCACAAAGGCATGAGGTCACCGCCGCGCGTGGCTGCCCCTTCCCTTATAGGGGAACAAGAGCGGGGCCGAGCCGGCAAGGAGGGGGGCGGCAGGGACCCAGCGGGGTGGGGCACGGAGCCCCAGCTGGAGCCGCGACCCCTTGGGGTGCAGGGACCCCGCACCGTGGCTCCGAGTGGCGCACACGGGGCTCAGGCTGCAGCCCGGGGGCGCGGGGGGTTGGGGCCCCGATTGGGGGGTCAAGGGTCACGGGGCACTGGGGACACGGGACATCCTCTGGTTCCCTGCTCACAGGCCACGGCCCGGCCCCTGGTGGCACGTGCCCGCCCCGGTCACACGGTGGGGGCACGGGCCATGACAGTGGAAGTAGAGACGGGCCCCTCCCTCCCTAGCCCCCCATGGCCGGGGTTGACTCAGCTGCCTGGTTCCCGCTGGCCCCCTCCATCAGGGCGACGTCCTCTGGGAGGGGGACGATCCCGGCTTCCACGGCCCCACCCGGCTGGGCCCCTCCAACCCGGGGGCAGGGGCAGGGGCAGGGGGGCAGGTCTGGGCCGAGGCCCGAGGCAGGAGGAGTCCACCCACTGCTGCCAGCTTCCCTCATCCCTCACGGCCCGTCTTGGCCGTACCGTCCCGGGCAGCGAGGCCCAGCCCAGCCCGCCCCGTACGACCGGCGGTGCCTCGCTGCATGGGGCTGGCCTGCCCGGCACCCCGCAGCAGCCGACGGCTCAGGGCAGGAGACTAGGTTGCCTCGCACCCAGAGCCCGGGTCCCAGCTGCCACGGGGCTGGCCCGGCTCTACCAGGCAGCAGCTGCCAGGCCAGGGGCTGTGGCCTGGTGCTGGCTCCTGGGGGCACCAGGATTCCCCCGGCCCCTGCCGCCTGGGCCCATTTCCCAGGCTGCCCAGTGAGGCCAGGTGCTGGGCAGGTGCAGCCCCAGTGACATCGTCCTTCCCAGAATAAAGGCTGGTGACAGGGTTATAAAT